CTTAGTAACTTTTTACCAGCTACTTGGGTGTACTCCTAGTAACTTTTCACCAGCTACCTGAGGGTACCCTTAGTAACTTTTCACCAGCTACCTGGGGGTACCCTTGATAACTTAGACTTCTTGCCTGATTCTGATCATATAAAAAAAAAGCCATTTCTAGATTATTACTACCTGTTTCATATCGTTTTATTATAAGCGTTTCACACCATGTACAAAAAAATATAAAAGAACAAAAAAATACTTAAAATGTCACATATTCATGAAGTAGTTCTAGTTTTTAACATAAAAAAAATAAAAATAAATTCTTCTTTTATTTGTTTTCTTAAAATTTTTCCGATACGAAGAGGATTATCAAACACTAGTTTATTAAATAAATCGATATTTTTTTCGTCCATTATGTGTAATACTTTTATCGGTCGTGAAAAATCTAGAAAATAAAATAAAATATAAAGATATAGATTAAAAAAATATCAAAATACGTTTAATAAGGATTGCTTTCAGGAAGCAATGAGAAAATGGATATCATATATTCGATTATTTTCTTGATATGAAATAAACTTTTGCTATACTTCCAATTAAAACAATAACGTACTAGATGTCGTTTAAATTAAATAAATGCTTTAGAGAAAGAAAATAATCTAAGTGAATTTGTACTATACTTATCGAGTGAATAATGATTATGAATAAATGATATTCAGATAACGATTTTATATATGTGATAAACAAAGGTCACATCAAGTGCCGTTCATCTTGGAAAGCTGACAAGAATCATGTCTGAATAGGAAGAAATTGACCAACAAATATAAATATTATTACCTGACGTTGATGAAAAACCAGTATTTTACCACTTGTATCGAAGTGATCACATAATTTATTATATGATAAAGAAATTCGGTCGGAATAAGTATCACCAGTATATTGAAAATATGTATTGGCTTCTTTCTTAACAACAACAATATTGTCACTATAACGGCTAATTATTAACACAGCAGTTGCTGGATAATAATATTGTACATTTTCAATATCATTTAATTCGAGATAAGAATTGAAAACTTTTTGCACTTGAGCAGGTGGCTTAACAAATGTCTAAAAAGAAATAAAAAAAAATTTTATCATCAAATAAAATTTTAATAAATATTTTAAACAAAATATAGAATATGAAAAATGAATTATTTCTAAAATTCATGCTATAATATAGATATATACAAAAGAGAGAACAATAGATCAGATATATTATTGATATATTTGAACATATATAAATAATAATAGCAAGTACTGGCTGAAATGTATTCTTCAAAATGTGCGAATTCAAGTCCTACGAATAAGCATAACATTAAATGACCTATAGAAAATTCAATGAGACGATCAAATATAGCTGAAAAGCTTTTATTCACAACTTTCGTTTTTTTTCTGATATGACATCACTTACTAAATCATGTAACTGAAATACTTTGTAATATTTCATAGAAGATAAAAGAAATTAATTCGAAATACTCACTATTAAGCAAGGCGGACATGTGTGGAATATTTGTTTGTGCACCCGCATTTCAATATTTTCAGTTTTATGATTACAATGGCTACAATGTACATTAGCCACATTCTCGGTATCATCAACATTAGCTACTACGGGATAAGAGATCAATTGTTCATTTGAAGATGAATTGAAAATAAATATTTGACTAGATAATGATCGAAGTGAATCTGGAGTTGTATTACAATGTGGACAATAAAAAAATGTTTTTATCGTGGTGACAAGAATTTTCTTTAATTCATGAAATGTATGATTTTTCTCGATAATAGAACATGCTTCTTGAAAAGTTGAACAAGATGGAATATTATCCGATAAAACATAAAATGTATCAGATGCACATTTAATTATTGCAAAGATAAAATTCAGATTATTTTGATCATGAACACGTTCAAAAATTAGTATGCCTAAAATCAAAAAAGTTATTCGTCAATTTTTTTTCTAATAGATAAAATAACATATAGTATTTGATTTAAAATTCGAATAAAAATATTACATTAAAATTTGTAAAATACAAAATCTCATTCAACTTTAATGATTTGTTATCATTGTTACCAAATTCGGTCGAGCTGTTTTAGGTCTTTTTTCTACATAGGTTATACTCACGAGAATGGGCAAATAGTCGTCGTAATTGTTCACCTTCTCCTATCACCCTTTTGTTCATGCTTGTCGACCAGCTTTTTTTTATTTTGCATACTCTGACCATTATATCATGTGTGCCCGATGAAATTATTGAATTGAAACAAGTCAAGTCATAAATACATGATGAAGGACATCCGATAGCACGCCAACTTGAAAATTGATCAAGTGAGAGAACACCAGGTGGTTTACGGAATTTAACCTTCCTGTAAAAATCATTGATATTGATAATTAATATTCGTGGCCATTCAACCACTTCAATATGACGAACAGTTGCTTGATTACATAATACACAAAGTAAATCAGACGTAGTTGGCGCAAAAAATCTATAAAGATCATGCTCAAGATGCAAACCAGTTTGTAAAACATTGACTAGAATTGATTTGACGACACTACGTCTTCTAACAACTATTTCACAAGCTTTACACGTATAAACTTTGTTGACAATTAAATTGCATGGCAGAAGAGGGGTAAGAATATGTTCCAGTATAAATGTAGAGCATTCAGCAAGATTACCGAATTCATCTAATGTTGACGAAACATTAATTGTTGTTGATCGAACATTATTATTATTATTTGAGGATTGAAACCATTCATCAATAAAAGTTAAAATCGCATCAATTAACGGAGAAGCTTCTGATAATGATAATAATTGATTAGAACGATGGATACTAGTTGTAATTCCTGCTGAAAGAATAAGACCAACAGCAATATTAAGCCAGTCTGGCGTCAATGAAGGTAATTTAAGATCCATATTAACATTATCTCTTGCGATCAAAAGAGAAGAAATTATATTCGTGAATATCGGCTCGTCAGGACCTTTAGAATAGTAACCACGACCACGTTTGTTTTTTGTTTTTCTCCATTGCTCTTCGATGGGTTTAAAACGATGATCATCTATTGTAATAGGCTGATTGTTGTCAAGAGCATTGTGTGGTTTTGTACAAAAACCATAGAGTGAGTTTGAAAATTCGTCGATTATAGTTATCATATCCGGTACAATAATTGATAAAACAATATCCAACCTGATAAAAACATGACCGCCTTAAAGAAAAAAAAATTTTTTATTTTATGCAATAATACTAGTACATGAAAAAGGGAGAATAGTCCATTCAATAATTCATTTTTATAATAAAAAGATTAGTATTTTCTTCGCACTTCTGAAGCTATAGCAATAATCATCTGAATAAAATCTTTCTCACACACCATTTCTCTCATTTGCATTATAAGAGCAATCGATCAGAACGCTATATACATTCGTTTATAAAAATATACTTTAATTCAAAAAGTTTTATATTCTACATCTTTTTTTCAAAAATTAACTTTGCAAAGATACATGTTGAAAAATTATTTAATAATATTTTTTTTCATTTTTTATCACTTAAAGTTTAAATAAAACGTTTATTTTACCTAACTGTGTTCTCTTCAAAATCCCCATTCTACGTTCGCTGATGGCAGTTGTTTGTTGTTCAGGATGTGTATTACGCATACGTTCAAAAGATTGAATAATACGCCGCCGATGGCGAGTCAAATCACCTACATAATAAATATTAATAATATTAGTGTCACAGTTGACATGAGAATTTAGTTGAGATTATAATACGCGATATAAAGTAGTTTTGTAACAGAACATAGAAAGTCTTGTCAGATTTATCAGATGAAGAATTATTAACAATTAAATCTATAGATTTAGTTAGGGTTAAAGTTATTTAAATCAATTCTCATCCATATTCTAATATGTTGGTGCACACTTTTCGTTGATTCAATACTGTAATTTGAATCTGTAATATGCTTGTGTACAACTAATGATTTTTTTCTATATATTTATGCGTTAGTTGATCATTTTATGATTCGTAGTAAAACAAATAATTTAATGTAAACAACTCTATACTTTCTATGAGAAAAACCAACGAATCGCTGAATATCCCTCATGTCTCGCTAATAAAAAAATATCTATTCAATTTAAAAGAAAAAAATTTTCTTTCTTTCATATCAAAAGTCAATGTCCCATATGTTCTGCTTATAAAACAATGATCATAATGATTGAGAAATCTAACTATTCAAAAAATCAATTTTTTTCATCAATTTTATATTTAATCCAAGTTTTTTTTGTTAAATTGAATAAATTTATTCAAATAGGCAGTATGTTACTTTGTTATTAGCAAAAGAAAAAAATGTTTTTCATATATCATATTTTGTCTACAATCATAAACTATTCTGAATCCTCTTTCTTTAAATTAAAAATATAGAAATAATTTTTTTATTTATAGCATTCCAAACTCAACAAAATTTTCTAACCGACCACCACATTAGTATTTAAAAGATAATGTTTGTCATGAATTATTCTTTACCTAATAAAAGTGTGGACCATATGGGTAACGTTGGCATAAAAAACTTTGTTAAATATTTGAACCATTGGAGAATACCACGAGAGGAAATACCAAATACTTCTTCAACGTGTATACCAGTATCAGTAAGTACATCTTGAAATATTTGATTCACAACAATTTTAAAAGGAGATTCAGTGGTGTTAGCTTCCTCTTCTTCATTCACGATTCTCTATAAAATAAAAACTAAGTTATTAACAACAAAAAAGTACATGACTATCTCGAAAATATATTGCAACAGCTTCTTTTTAAAACGAATTTTTCATCTGTTGATCAAGCGTTTACTCGAAACCACTAGTATAATACTCGAACCTTTTTTCTTGATGATTTTGATGAACCTTTATGTGTTTCAATGACATGAAAATCTTCATCATCATCACTACAAAATTCATATTCATCAAAATCAGATGATTCTTTTGTGTTCACATCTTGAATAGAATCACTAGACTTCATCGCATCTAGAGTATTTGAATCAGTTTTAATTTGAGTGATCTTCTGTAGTAAAGCATCTTGATATTCTTGATTTAAATTTTCTTCACCAAGATGCAACTGCAGAAATACGTAACATACTAATCGCCAATTGTTTTGAAACTCAACCCAAGTTCCGGTATTAATGAGTAGTGCTATTGACCACATGGCGAGCTCTCGGTATTTTTTTTCTATGTATTTGTTGATATTTTTTCGAGTATCCTTCAAAAACAAGAATTCAGAATAAAATAAAGATTAAACAATTTAATTTGGTTCATATTTAAATGCTAAGTAAAAAATTCAATTTTTTCTAAGTTTTTTCTAACTTGACAAAAGTCTACTTAGCATTTATATTATTTTACTTAGCAAATAAATAGTACCCATTTAATTTACTTTCAATACATGTGCCAAACATGCATGTATATTTGTTAATTCATTATCATAATTTGTGCTATTACCGGTTACTATTCTATAAGCACGATTCAAATAATCTTTTAATGTTTCATTATTCCAAACACGTAAAGCTCCAATTAAGAAAACCTGTGCACGATCGCTTAAAATAAAGCGTGGTCTAGGAAATGGCTTCTCAACAAAGATCTAAACGAGTACGTTATTCATATATTGTAATTTAAAAAAAACGTCTATTTTTACTTGACTATAAGCATTTTTAAATAATTCAATCCATGCAATTATATTTACTAGACCATGTGCATCACTAATCATGAAGGTGACAGGAACAATACTGTCTTCTTTAACCACCCCAGGTAAAGTTATGCTTAATTCGTAATAAAGTAGTCGAGGAGAATTTAATTTTTCCTGGATTATGCCACCAGTGGCATCCCATGAAAGAACTACATTCTCCTGCTTCATAAGTGCATCAAAAAGACGAATAGATGATTCAGTGTATACAATAATTTGACAGGGATACTTAGATACTTGTTGAATTGCTCCTGTTATTTTTCCATCCGGATTTACTTTATCTTTAAATCGTTTATATAATTTTGATATAGCTTGATCAACATCTGGTGCCAGTAACGATTCACTAACACCTTCAGATTTAATCTTTGCTATTATATTTCGTGTTTTACCAGTAGTATCATAATTATTTGCCATCTTTTGTTCACGTGTTCTTTTTTGTAATCGTTCTTTATGTACTCGATACACTGAAGCACCTTGAGTAAATCTTTTCTTTAATAATGATCGAATGGGTTTTCTCATTGGACGTGAGAGTTTTATTCCATGTAGATGATGAATTGTTCCATTATGAACAAGTATATCGGCAGTTCCATTATTAAATACAATAACCGAACATGTAAATGGACATGTAGGACGTCCTTTACAATAAAGTTGACATCTTAATAATTGATTTCGATCATACTCTGTTGTACCAAATGTCTTATTACGCACGCATAAACTGCAATATTTGTTAAAACGTTCTATATAAGGTAATAGTAAATAAAAATATGTCATATCCACTCTTGACTCTTTTTCTTCATATTCACTTGTATCAGATGAAAGATCTAAATATATTGAGATAAATAAATATTTAATAACAACACAAAATAACAATAAGTTCAAGAAAGGTTTCTAAAAAATGCATGACTTAATGGAATAAAACATTCTTATTTAGTTTTTTTTCTGTATGGTTTAATCAAGACTTATTCCATGCTTTTCCAATTAACAATATCACTTACTCTAATATTAATTCTTTAATACACTGAACGATTCAGTTTATCTATTTGAACTTTTTAATCTTTGTTGTATATATTTATTGCATTTTCAAAAATGAAAATGTAGCTCTATTTTACAATATAAATATTAATATCACGCTAGTAATATACTATATACACTCAACTTTAATTGATATAATTTCTAATTACCTGATGTTTTAGAAAAGATTTCGATAGCATCACTTGCGGCTTGAGATTGTTTTGGTAAAACAATTTTTTTTCGTTGCGATTGCGTAGATGCTAGAATAGATAAACCCATTGTTTCGAGCAAACGATCATGTTTCTTCTGATTGTTGGTAATACGAATAGATTTTAATTTTTCCAAATCGACTAGTTGTAATTTAAATGAATAATGTGTTGGTAGTTCTACATGTAAATCACGTTCATCATCAGTGTTTTTACTAGTATTATTCAATTGTGTAACTGAAACAATATACATGATAAAAATAAAATTCCATGTTAAATACAATTCAGGAAATATTCTACACATAATGATATTCAATCTACATTGAAATATGTCACGATTGAAGAGAAAGTAATTTCTATCATACGATTACTGAGATTGTTAAATAAAGCATGATTGCCTTTTTTACGTATTCCAATGTTTTGGATGATAATTATTCATTGAAAAGTTCTCAAAAATATAATGAACGTTTTTAAATAAAAGCTATGCCTCATTTCAATCCGATATCAATAACATATGTATTTTTTCATGTACCTACTCTTTTACATTCTTTTACTTTTGTTGTAAATCACAATAATTTGATGCGGAAGTAGTGTCTCTTATTCGAAAAGAAAGTCACATAGAAATCGATTAACTCAGAAAAAATGATTCGTTGTTAAATTAATCGAATTTTGGCCAAAATTTAATTAAATAGTAATAAGACTAACCAATATCTGTATTTGAATTTTTTGAAAGTCGTGTTGCGTTAAAAGATGATCTATTGGAATCATTTCTAATTGATGCATTTCTCTTTTTCGCATAAGGTGTTTGAATTGATTCAGACGACGAAAATGATGAAGATGAATGTGATGTATTAAGTGTATTTATGTTCTCTGAAATATTGAAAAGTTCCTTATAATGTAATTGATCAACTATTTACTTGTACGATTAGTATTTGGTATAATTTCTATTCGACTTTCTGTTTGCAGTTCAATTGGTACTGAAATACTTTGTGGAAATAATTGAGCTCGTAACGATGATAAATTTTCTTGAACAGGTGATTGCACAGAAGAAGAATCTGCATTGAAGAAAAATACTTGATAGAAAAATACATTAGATTATTTTACCTTTTTGATAAGATGATGACGATGTATTGAAAATTAATTTTTTTTTTGTTAAAAATTGTCGGTTCAGCTCATGATTAGAATCGAAAGTATTACACATTACATTTTTTGAAATCTTTCATAATAAAACAAAAGATATAAGAAAAGTCATTATACTTATTCTTACTGGTGAATAACCATTCATATCTGTACGAATTAAGCTATTTGCATTTACAGGTGTGGATGAAGCTAAAGGAGATGTTGATCGTGTGTTAGATGCAATATCTGTTGATTGTAATAAATTAATATTTTCTTCTGTTACTCTGGTATAAAATAACATATATGAATTGTTTTCAGTTAGTACTGAATCAAGATTAACTGGTGTAACTGACTCATCATTTGCCTTATACCAACGAGTATCAGGTGCTTGAACATATGAAAATATATGACCATTATTTGCTGTTTCACCAAGATGCACTAATACAGCATATAACTGATAAATGAAATCAGTAAACTTGTAATTTTCATTATCTAATTGAAGCATATCTTTATGAATATATGGATGAATATCAAGTAATTCCGGATATGAAATAAAATTTTTGATTTTTCGAATTGTTTGTGCTTGTGTATCATAGATAAATCTTTTTAAATGAATAATGATAATTGGAGATGTTTGATTAAGTTTTAATGATTGTGATGCTGATACATGTGCTTTACATTTTAAACAGTCAAAAGAATCTTCATTTGCTAATTGTTGAGGTTTACAAAATGCTATTAGAGCTGCTTCAAGATTATTATGAGAGACAATGGGAATTGACCAAATTGCCTCATAATTTTCTTGACTAGTTTTATTTGAACAGTTCATACAATTGATTTCTGATTTCAAATTGATACCAAAAATATACTGAAGTGGATTTGACAAATAAGTAGAAAATAAGGATATGTTAACAGATGAAAGACAATTCATTAAGTGATCAAAAAGAAACGTTATAAATTCAGATGGATCTTCTTGACGACCAACAACAAAGTTAACAGATAATTGTGGAATTTTTCGAGCAAGTTGAACAGCTGAACTTTGAGATAATTGAGAAAATAAAACACATTTATTCATAATAGTTGGATGAATATTCATAATTATTAATCGAAGATCACAAACAGAACAAAATTGATTATCAGCTGTTATTTCACCTATAAAATAAAAATTAAATCAATGTAATAAGAGATTTATTTAAAGATTTTTTTAATTCACTCTTTTCTTAAGAACAAAACAAAACTTTTGTAGAATTCTTCTATTTAACTAGAAACTTACATGTAGCATGAATATCATTATCTAATAACCATTGAACAAATGGTGCCGTGTTTGCAAGACATTGAATAATTGAATTTATATAACAAATATTAAGACATGTTTTTCCACTATTTCGATTGATAAGTCCTGTACCATGTACATGTACTATTCTCCAGTCCATTTTCAATTGATATTTTTCTGAGTGAATCAATTTGTGAGAACATTTCTTCGAACGTTTTGGTAATGGTTTTTTTTATTCCTTCAGGTTCGATATCAGACGAATCTAAATATAAATTAAAATAGACAATAAACTAATGAATAACATAGAAAATTAATGACCTGTTACATGATCGAAACTAAATACATTAGTTCTGTTGAAAAATGGCGAACAAATGATAGAGGATGTTGATGAAATATTTCTTTCTATATTTATTTAACATAGAAGTAAAGCAAAATATTGAAGAAAACTTACTCCTTTTGATCGAATCATTTTCTTTAATTATATTAGATGGTGAATCTTCAACATCTATAAGAAGATTATTTTATGAAAGCATCATACGAAAAAAAAACAAACAGATATTACTATTTTCATTACCATCTGAATGTGGAATAGATATCCTATTTTCCATTGAATTAAGTGCTGACTGAGGTGAAACATTTTGAGTTGAGCATACCTAAAAAAGAAACTAAAAGCGATTTTCTACAAAATAAACTTGTATTACATTTGTAAAATCGATGTTAGAATCACTTCGTGTAGTATTTTCTTTTTCATTTTCATAACGTTCATATAGATCACAAAGAAAGCCATTCATAACTTCTTTTATATTGGGATTGTTTTCGACGTCACGAATTAGTTTGAACGGAACACCATGTACAACAGCTGCTAATGCTGGATTAACACCTTCATTAATTTCTTGCATGCATTTTTCTAATGCTTTTTCCAGATTAAGTGAAGATTTAATACCAAATCGATTTTTTATTTCTATTCTATCACCATAAAAATCTTTCTTAACTTGTTCAATAGAGATACTGTGTAAATGTGCAAATACACGGTTATTTGAAAATTGATTAAGATCCTCAACTTCCTCACTAGCAGCTAAAAGAGCTGCTGCTCTATTTTGTACTTGTTGATCATGTAAATGTAAATGACTATTATGTGTAGCACTGTGTATGGTCCGAATATTCATACGATCCATACAGGTATTTTATATAAATGATCTAAACCGTATTAAAGTAATTATACATAAATAAAAAAAGGTTTAAGAAGTTGACAAAATAACAAGTTAAATTACTGAATAACAGTTTCAGTTTAAACCATTGTGCTCTTTCTTATACGTATGTGATAATAATAATAAAAATATATACAACAAGATAAATTACGGATACCAATTTGATTGGTCACACTGACTCTATACAAAATAATTTTTTCTTTTTCTTCGATGATGGCATGACAGTCTATAGATAAAAATAATCTTTTCTTAAGTGTCATTTGATTGGTGAAGAGATACACAATCATTTGAAATAGAGTAATATAGAAAACATAAAGACATCACAGATGTCTCGCAATGTATGCGTAGAGATCAAGACACAGCTAAGCATGTGTCTTTTGTTAGATAAAGAAAATAAAATTCAGGATCTCTTTCTAGATTAAAAATATTATGTCAATAGTATATTGTGTTATTGATTGTTCATTATGTCTTCTTGAGTTTCAACTTGTTTAAATCGATATAATAAAACTTGTAGTTGTTTAATGGATAAATCTTGGAATATAATTAATGCTTTATAATAAATTTTAATCATTTCTTCAAGATGGTTGGATGAAATATCATGTGATTGAAAAGTGCTACCTGTAACTTCGACCATGTAAAATAAAAAGAATCATTAATAGGATGTTGGAAACTTGAATTAACTGATATACAAAATATGCATCATTGCTACATAGTAGCTTCTATTTTATTAATTAGTCGTTATAGTGATACAAGTAGTATTATTAAAAGAGAGTCTGTTGATTATATTCAATACATAGGAGATAAATATTCGGAATCTACTGTTGTATCTTATTCGAAAATGGCTGATTTATTTGATATTAACAGTACAATGCTAATTTTTTATTATCCGATATGTATGCTTGTAATTTTTACTTATTTTATTGATTGTAAATGAGTTGTGAAATTTCCTTTAACAGAGCCTTGTTTTCAATCGTTTTTTATGTTTTTCATATAGTATCTTTTGAATCCTTTTAAATAGGAGTAATGTTGTGCTGTATAATTGATTTAGTCTAATTTTACTGCGTTATTTTTACATGATTTAACTTATCTAACTTTCGATTTTTCTTTAGAATCTGAATGAGAAGTTTAAATAAAACATATCAACGGTCTCCAATCAAAATGTTTTACATACATTAAATGGAAAAAGCAAAAACAAAACTTATTGTTTTACTTTTGTATCTTTTATTAATATTGTATCGTGAATTTAATTGAATCTTCAGCTTTTTCTATATTACCTTTATACGTATTTATGGTCGTCAAATGGAACTTTTCAAATATTCAAGTAATTCATCTTTTTATAGTATCAGGAGATTTCTTACCGTTATTTCCTATATAGAATCTGATGCTAGTATGAAATATTATAATAACGAATCTTATTGATCTTCAAGTTTAAATACCTCCTTCATTTCTAATGAGAAAGAATACAAAGAATCAAAATACTATACTATTTCAAGAAATTTAATTTTTTGGTGATTAACTCTCAGAGATTTCATCGAGGATATAAGGTTACTGTCTAACCATAGTCAGTTGATGACAGTTACTCAAAAGTATTGCGTACTCTTAGTAACACGTAAATATTTGATTCAACTTGTTTATAAAGAAGTGCAGAAAATATCAGGCATTCTCAAAATATGTGGGTAACATTTCCTAAAATATATGATCAATCTCGCACAAACAAGATGACGGATTCAGTTGAGAACTCTTTTGAAAATAACTTGTTCGTCTTATTGAACTATCAGTTAATTTATTTTCCGAGTCTCAAGTGAAAAATACGAAATGATTCATACGAATAATACTGATCGATTCTCAAAAGCACCTGAGATACCTTCACAAGATCGACGACGTTGAAATTCCTTTTAAAAATCGTTTTATTCACAAATTATAAACAAAATCCAAACAAAATAAAAATCTGTAAAAGACTTTTTTATTTTCGATACAATATAAGGCACACGTTCTTCTAATACAAAGAAGTTATTTTTCGCAAAAACTTAATTATTTTGTAGAAAAAGAAATGAAAAATAAACTGTAATTTTTTCTCTACAGATTTAAAGAAAAAAGTCAACTTCTAAGACCAGGTGCCGATAGCGATTTTGTCTTCACTCACCTATCCGTGCACTCATTCATCTATTTATTCATCAGCCCATCCATCCATGCATATATCTATCTATCTACCCACCTAACTATCCATCTAACTATTTATCTGCCCATGTACTTATCCATCTACCCATGTAGGTGTAGGTGGGTATGGATATAGATGCTACATTTACCAAACCCCACATCCACACCCTGTTTTGGTCAAGTTTGATAGAAAATGTAAAGATTTAATAATTAGTTACATTTTAATTAAGACCTAGTTAGAAACTAAGCTCAGATTTGAATTCTCTGAGTTCGATTATGTTTGGGTCAAAATTGATAGATAAAGTAAAAATTT